GGGGCCGAGGGCAGCCTGCCCCGGGCAGAGGGCTGCAACGGCTCGCCCCGGGCCGGGGGCAGCCCGCCCTGGGCAGAGTGCCGCAACGGCTCGCCCCGAGCCAGGTGCTGAGGGCAGCCCATCCCAAGCAGGGCAACACCCCCCAGGAGCTGGCTGGTATACTCTCCCTCCAATTGCCCCTACCCCAGTCTGGTCCCGTCGCCTGACTGAGGTCTCTGGGTCAGGGATAGTGTTTCAAATTCCAGCACTGCCACTCCCCCCCCATAAGTGGTCATACTATATTTTGAAGTAGGTGTCACTGCCCTCCCCCCTTATATGTGATAAAGGGAACCTGAGAATTGTGAACAGATTCCCCCCAGGTCTAACCATCTTTTGGCAGAAGCATTCAACAGAACAAACTATATGGTGTATTTAGGATGTCGGTCCTCTTCTGCATGCTGCCACTGTTAAGGTCATCAGACTCACAGTGACTTTCAGCAATCCATTGCATAGGTAATCGTCCTCTTTGGTCTGTCCAATTCATAGGTAATTGTCCTCTTTGACCTTTCCAATGCATAGGTAATCGTCCTCTTTGGCCTTTCCAATGCATAGGTAATCATCTTCTTTGGCCCATTTCTCCTTGGGAATCCTTGAATTCCTCTTGTTGAGCTTCAGTCTTCACTGAGGGCCAGTCATCAACTGTTTAAGTGTTCAATTATCAATAAGCCGAAGTCTGTGGAAGGCCATAATGGCCCTGCTCTAAGTGGTTCACTACTACTGCAGCTCACCACACTGTCTCTGCCTCTGCCGCCATCTTGGATCTCGATCAAGGATCAGTTGTCTTCTTTGAGTGTTCAGTATATATCATTCCATTGTCTTTTTGCTTGCCTAGTTTCTGCTGAAAATCAGCATTTAATCTTATTTGCTCTCCCTTATAGGTTACTCTTTGTTTCTCCCTCACTACTTTGAGAATTCTCTTCTTATATTTGATTCTGGAAAATATGAATATGATAAACACTGATCTTTTCCTTTTGGGATAGCCTGCTTCTTTGATGACATTGCTGTGGTAGAGTTTTTCACACCTGAGGCAATAGCAGGTTCCTTATCTGATGTCACTGCTCCAGAGGAGGGTAGGGCAGCTACCCTGCCTGGGTTTCTTTCTGATCTTCTGACTCAAGGGAAGATTTGCTTCAGTTCAGGAGAGAAAAGGCCTGTAAATTAGTAGCCTCCTCTCTCAGACCACTGCTGCAGCTAGGCCAGTCCAAGGTGCTCAAAGCTAAAGGCAGTTAATTTATTGGATGTGAGGAGATAACACAGGGGAGCACGTCAAAGGGTGGAGATGCAAGCAGGGTGGACATTTGTGAAATCACATGCAGGGCAGACATTCACAGAGACCTGAATGGAAAACTAGGAAGCCTAGGTTTTCCCTTCAAGAACTGGGTCTGCTGCCTCACTCAGGTTTCAGCTGTCGTGCTCTCTTCTGCTTGAGCTCAAGGGGTCCCACGTGATCAGCCAAACAGTAGTGATCCCCGCAAAGTACCTAGTTAATAGCCATGCATGGCTGCTGACAACGTGGCGGCTCAGAATTACTTTATTTAAGCATGATAAAGAATGTAGCCAATGCTGCTAAATACTTTGTGTAGAAATAATTGAATACAAACCTAAACTGCTGTGTGAATTTTCTCTGAAAGCACAAAGTGTTTACAAAAATTTCCACAATAAAGTAACATATGAACGTCTTCAAAGAAGGAACAAAATTATTTCTAAAAAAGTTAGGAGTGTATGGGTAATGTCAAGGGAACTGAGGATGACAACAAAGCACAGCCTTACAGAGGACTTGGATCTGAGACCTTGAAAGGAATTTTTCTCTTCTTCTTTGCCCATCTGCCTCATCCATCTATTCTCTCACTTTCGGCTTTTTATTTTTTAACTATAACTCCTTTAGCTTTTTAATTTATGTTCTACAGTTTAATATACACACACACAAAAATACCTGAGTGTAGTACTGAATCCCAATTTTAAAATTTTCTGAAAAAGAATATTGCTCTTCCAGTACAAAAAAATCTAATGCATTTGTGTAGTCCAGTATCAAAGAGCACACAGCACAGACTCGCTTACCTGGCCTCTTGATGACTGATGGGAGTGTAGTCCCCAGACTTCAGGGTGGTGTAAGCTCACCAGACAGATCTTCTCAAGGTGTCTATTCCATGATCCTTAACCTTGAGTTTCTTATTTAAAAAAGAATTCTTTTTTAAGATTAGCTTTTATTTATGGCTGATGTGTCTCAGAGAAGATGATGATTACCGTAAATTGTTAATACCCTAATGTACTTCCTAAGTGTAGCAATTTACTGTTGTCTTTGTGGCGAGAGACTTCTTACTGGCCCTAAGTCTGGAGAATGTATGTCCTTAAAACTTGGGATTTTATGTTTCTGAACTGGGTTAAGTTACGTGATTTGACATCAGCCACTCAGTCTGATTTTTATAAATGAATAGTAATCCTAAAACAAACACCAGGTTGTGTCCATAAGAAACCTATTCTTGGACCAGGAGGCAATTATCAGAACAGAGTAGGGAAACACTTTCTGGTTCAACATTAATAAAGAAGTGTGTAAGGGAAGAGATGCATCTTGTCTCCATACTTTTTCAATCTGTCTGCAGAACAGATCATTCAGAAGGCTGGACTTTATAGAGAGAAATGTGACATCAGAATTAGAACAACATTGAACAACCTGCACTATGCAGATGACACAACCTTGCTTGCTGAAACTGAGGAGGGCCTGAAGCATTTGCTGCAAAGGGCCAAGGACAATAGTCTGCAATATGAATTGAAGCTCAACATCAAGAAAATGAAGATTCTCGCCACTAGGCCAATTGGCAGCACCCTGATAGATGAAAAAGTTTGAGATTGTTAAATAATTTCAGCTTGCTAGTTTCCACAATCAATAGTCTTGTCATCAGCAGTCAAAAAATCAAAAGACAAATTGCATTAGGAAAATTTGCTGTCAGGGACTTCTCCAGAGTTCTGAAGAGCAACATTATTAGCCTAGAGACTAAGATGCACCTGATCCTTGGCCACGGTCTTCGTAATTACTTACTATGCATCAAAGGGCTGGACAGTGACCAAAAATGACAGAAGATTTATTGAGTCCTTTTAGTTGTGCCGGAGAAGAGTTTGAACATACCATGGACTGCCAGGAGAACTAACATATCTTGGAGAGGGTGAAACCAAGCTGCTTCCTGGAGGTGAGGATTTTGAGGCTCTGTCTGACGTACTTTGGGCACATATCCAAGAAAGACCGGTCCTTGGAGAAGGATGTCATGCTCGGAATGGTGGAGGGACAGACAGCACAGGAGAGGAAGACCCCAGATGAGATGGATTGACACAATAACTGTGTCAGAGACAGTGAGATTGGCTCAGGGTACACAGCAGGGTCAGAGCTAATGTGCATATGGTCACTATGAGTCATAGTTGCCTCAACAGTACATAACAACAATGAATAATACATCGGAATCTGTTAAGTTGCTGTAGTAGCTTATGTGTTCCACTAATTTTGCCTGCTTTCTTTTCCAGGGAGGAGCATTGTCTTTATATACTGCTCTCACCACACAGCAGAAATTGGCAGGAGTCATTGGGCTGAGTTGCTGGCTTCCACTACGGACTTCGTTTTCACAGGTAGCCTGCCTGGTGCACATCATCTCAGATCCTCAGCAGATGAACACAGAGTGTGGGTGTGCTGCCATCACCTTTGCAGAAGGGTTTGATTAGACTTGAGATTTACCACTTCACTTTGTACGTTATAATGTCTGCATAAAATGCATTAGATAGAATGGAACTTGAATTTCTCTTGTTAATCTGACAGTTTAAGCATATTGACTGTTGGAGCCAGTCTAGGCTTTTTAAAAATTCAGTTGGTTAATTGTGTTTGAAATGAACATTCTCCTAATACGTACAGCACTGCTCTGTCAGTTTCTGTACTGAAGAACCTTGTGGTTGTGATGCTCAACGCTGTGCCATTGGTATCTCAAAGACCATAATGGTTACACACATGGTGAACAGTGTTTGGTGGAGCTCCCAAATTAGGACAGACTTGGAAGCAGGAGTGGCATTCATTTCCTAAACAACATACCTCTGAAAACTCCATGAACTTAGAGAAACACCAGTAGTTATACAACTTTTAAGGTCTTTTGTTCATAGGGTCACTATGAGTTGATCTCGACTCAATGGCAATTAACAGCAACAAATAACATATAAAATTTAGGACTGTTTAATGTTCAATATACTTATATTTGTTAGCAGAATGTTTACTGTAGAATATAATCTCCAGATGTTTAGAGGTGTGAAATAAAATACTTAGGTATGGCTAGGAGATGGAGACATTTTTTTAATTCATTTTAGAATCTAAGGTCAAAAGAGAAAAAAGCTATCTCATCAGTGTGTATTAATTCTGATTTCTTGCTCATAACCACCAAAGAACAAGCCTACTCCTGTGGTGTCTTCTGTCCCTACTCATGGTGATTCTCCTAAATCTTGACGAGAAGAACGAGCCTCCTATTTCTACCTCAGCTATTTTGAACCACTGACCTTTGTAACACATATCAAACTATATTACCCAGGTTCGCTCTTATCTATATAAGTGCTTCTTATTAACTCTTTAAATCAGTCACATAAATGTTATGAAGAACAAAATTCTGTTAATATATACTGTTGTTATATTCAGTCAAGTTGGAACTGACTCATAACTGGATCTTCCAGGAAGTTTTCAGAGGCACAAATCACTCAGGATATTGCCCCATCATTATTTCACAGAGCAGCTAGTGGATTTTAACTAGGTGCCTTTGGTTTGACTGCACAACTCCTTACCCACTGGCCACCAAACTTTCCTAATATGTACTGTTGCTGTATACAGTTGAGTTGGAACTGACTGGTGAATGACCTTCCAGTGGGTTTTCAGAGGTAGTTAATCACGCAGATAGAGATTGCTCATCCTTCTTCTGTGGAACAGCGGGTGGATTTAACTGCCTTCCTTTGGAATTGCAATGCAGCTTCTTGCCACTAGGTCACTAGAGTTTCCTCCTAATATGTACTAATAGTTATTAGTTACCTTTTATATGAAAGACACTTAGAATAGAATATAACAATAAATTAAGATGTAAAGTTGTGTCATTGTTATGTGCCATTGAGCCACCTGCCACCCAGTAGCAATATGTGTAGTAGCTTTGAACCCTGTGCTATCCTGAGCCAGTCTCACTGACTCCTGACACACCTAATTCCATTGTCTCAGTTATTATGTTAGTCTGTCTCTGAGGACTTCCTCTCTCTCCACCTTTCTGATGTCTGATGTCCTTCTCTGAGGACTGGTCCCTCCTTGCTACATGCCCAAAATATGTGAGATGAAGCTTCAAAATCCTTGACTCCAAGGAGAAATTTGGTTTCACCCTCTCCAAGACAGACCTGTTTGTTCTCCTGGTGGTCGATGATATGTTCAGTACTCTTCTCCATCACTGCAACTAAAAGACATCAATAATTCTTCTGTCATCCTTAGTCATTGTCCGGCAATCTGATGTATGGCAAATAATTGAAAAGACCATTGCCTGGATCAGACACACCTTAGTCTTTACACTGACATCATTGATTTTTAGCACTTTGGAGAGGTCCCTGACAGCAGACTTTCCTAATGTAGTTTGTCTTTTGACTTCCTAACTGCCGGTGCCAAAATTTTGTAGCTGAGCAAGGTGAAATTGTTAACAACCTCAATCTTTTCTCCATCATCATGGTACTTCCATTTGGCCAGTAGTGAGAATCTTTGTCTTCTTCCTGTTAAGCTTCAGTCCATATTGAAGACTATAGTTCTTGATCCTCTGCAACAAATGCTTCTGGTCCTCAGTTATGGCAAGCAAGGTTGTATCATATAACACAGATTGTTGATGAATCTTCCTCCAATCCTGATGCCACACTCCTCCTCATAAAGTCCAGCTTCCAAATGATTTGTTCCGCTTATAGATTGAAAAGGTATGGAGACAGAATCCTTGTCTCTAAGCCCAAATTCCATGTACAAGGTTTAGGGAAGGATTTCTGTCTCAGACAGTTCTGAAGAAAATCCTTCGCCCCTTGAGCTTCTGCTCCAGGACTGATTTCTTGTGACTTAGCGCCTCTGCTATTGCATTTGCAGCTCACTGCTGTCACATATAATTTTAAAAAGTTATCCCTTAAGAAAATGTACAATAATCATACCCCCATGGAGCTCTAGTGGCTTAGTGGTAAGCTGAAATTCTAAAGGCATGTGGCTTGAATTCACCATATGATCCATGGAATAAGGATGGGCAGTCTCCTCCTCTACAATTTACTGCCTCTGAAAACCCACTGAGGGGTCAGCTGTGGATTGTTTCTGACTTGATGACACACAACAACAACAATCATAGAGAATAATTGGAATAAAAAGAATTGTGGGGAATAAAGTGGTAGAAGAAATTGTTTTTCGTTGATGAAATATAATGTATAATTAGTTAATATATGTGTTATATATGTCCATCTCTGATCTTTAATACCTACTCTAATTTGTGAATGCTTATTTGAATAAATATACTATTTGATGTTTTATTTCATTTTTTTTTCTTTCAGGGTCCTATCAGTGGTGCTAATAAAGATCTTTCTATTCTCCAGTGCCATGGAGATTGTGATCCTTTAGTTCCCCTAATGTTTGGTTCTCTTACTGTAGAGAGACTAAAAACATTGGTAAATCCAGCCAATGTGACCTTCAAAACCTATGGGGGAATGATGCACAGTTCATGTCAACAGGTAAATATTAAGAAGCTTTGGCTAATAGAGTCATATTTGTGACTTCTTCCACATACTAATTTTAATAGTAAATGTTTAGTTAACAATATCCATTCAAGATAACAGTATAGAAGCTCTGGTGGCCTAGTGGCAAGAAGCTGCACTTCAATCCCAGAAGTGTGTAGTTCAAATCCACCAGCTGCTCCACAGGAGAAGGTTGGGCAGTCTCCTCCCTTGTGATTAACTGTTTTGAAGACCTGCTGAAGGGCCAGCCATGAGTCAGTTCTCACTCAACAGTACACAACAACAACAACAACAATAATAGTTAACAGTATGATTATCATGTTCTAGTTGATTTAAAAAAAAATATTAACATTTTAACTTTTGTGGTTTAAAAGAGCTAATTAATGTGTTCATGTTGAATAATACATTAGTGATCTTTAGAGCAGAGTTTATTCACTCTGATTCAACAAATATTAATCCTTAACTGTATTCGTGCATTACACATATTTCAATGACAGATAGCAAACATTCCTTTTTAAAATAGCTAAAATTGAAAGTTTAATAAGGGAAGAAAGGACCCATTCAGGTACTTTGTAAAAAGAAGGTAGAATGTGATATATATTACCTTAGAAGTTTTACACAATTGTCTGCATGCATACAGAGACTCCTTTTATCATAGGAATCTTAGGGGGCACCAAGAATATGATGGAAGAGTTAGGCCTTACCATGTGCATTTGAGTAGCAAATATATAGATAATGGGCAGTAAAAGAAACATAACAGGCTACTCTTTGTGGCTAGAATATTTATTGAAAAGTTGGTACTATAGAACAGTGAGCATAGGGAGTGGAGATTTGGCCATCGAGAGCAATGATAATGTTTCAAGGGTGAACTTACTTTCTTAGAAGTAGGAAGCTTTTGCAATTTTAAGACTGAAGAGAAATGTAACCAGACAAGCAAGACCGAATTGTTTGAATATGGGATCTGTCTGAGGAAGAAAAAGGATGATAACAGAGAGGACTTAGACTTGTAAGGCCTCATTCATGGACTCAGTAACAAGGAATGGTTTCAGGGTGTTGTAAAGGAAATAATAGTGTGTTTTGTGAACATAAGTGGGGTTAATGTATATCTTTGTTAACAAAATAAAATTAAAAAAACTTGCCTGAATGTTGACCCTAGAAATGGCCACTTAGAATGATCAGTATTTTTAAATGGTGAAGACTTTTTGTGGGATCATATGGATGCTTACACATTTTAGAAACCATTTTTGTGAAAGAGTACAAATTATTTTTAAAAATAGAATTGGAGACTCTTCAACACTGACCTCCTCTTCCCCTCCCAAAATTAGTAAATTTTTCTGTACTGCAATACCAGAGGTGGTGGTTGTTATGTGCCGTCAAGTCGCTTGCCACTCATGGCGACCCTATGTACAACAGCCCTAAACTCTGCTCTGTCCTGTGCCAATCACACTGTCTCCAACACACCTATCCTGATTACCCCAGTCACTGAATCAATCC